AAATGGAAGTTTCAGGGCAGCTTCAGAGGACTTTAAACGACACCAGACGATGAATAAGGGTCTTATCTAGGACCCTTTGAGTCATGACTTGAAAAAAGATTTGTTCATTTTGAGGAACAGGAGGAGTCACGGACGCTCATCACAGAACAGAGCAAGGCGAGCATTTGTGCTTATAAAACGTATACAAAATTTGTATTTATTTTTTAAATGATCGATCGTTTCGCTAGATAAGACCCTTATTCATCGTCTGGTGTCGTTTAAAGCCCTTTGAAGCTGCACTGAAACTCTCATTTGGACCTTGGACAGTCCATTATATGGAGAAAATCCTGGAATGTTTTCATCAAAAACCTTAATTTCTTTTCGACTGAAGAAAGAAAGACGTCTTGGATGACATGGGGGCGAGTAAATTATCAGCAAAAGTTTTTTTAAAAGTGAACTACTCCTTTAACTTGTCTATCTACAGTCATATAAAAATTCTCAGTCAATCTCTTTTATTCTTTAGATAAAGTCCGAAAGTCTCTTTACCCAGAGATGAGCCTCATTTAGGGGAGGATCATGTGCAGGAAGATCTCGTTCATCGAGGAGATTCAGTAGTGAGTGAGGAGATTCTGAGTGACAATCCTGTTCATTTAAAGTTAGTTTTAGATAATATTACTATAGACAACCAACATTTTTTACAAGGGACCTGTGACTATTCTCTGACGAATCAAAGACCCCTCTCCAGGGTTAAGAGGAGCCCTCCAAGAAGAATCCCCAACCCTTCATCTGGCAGCAGAGAGACTCCAGCAACCAGCAGCACTGAGACCCCATTGGGCTCAAACAAAGTCAAGGTGGAATCTAAATCCGAGCTTCTGGAATGTGCTGTCACAGAGGAGACAGACAATGCGACAACACAAGTGCCTGTTGTTCCCATGCAGGATGCTCCTCTAGCAAATGAACACAAACAGCAGCCCGTCTCCACCTTTTCTGACAGCATTGTCCACTATAACCAACCTTGTAAATTACTCAATTCTACTTCTAAACACATTCTTAGGTCACGGGTAGAGAATACGGTCCACACAGGGGATGTTCACAGTGTCCCCTCCATGAGTGAGAGCAGGGAGATTCTGCACAGCTGCCACGTGTGCGGTAAGACGTTCGCATCGCCCTCCAGCCTCGGAGCTCACTTTGTATGCCATTCAAAGGAGAGACCTTATGTTTGCAAGTACTGTAATTTCAGGTTCAGTCGTTTATCCGATATGAAAAAGCATGAGCGCATTCATACAGGAGAAAGGCCATTTAACTGTTCTCTCTGTGGACGGCGATTCAACCGAACAGAGAATCTCAAAAGACACTTGAGGAAGGTTCATTTTGGAGCAGCACGGTGAGCTTTAAATTCACAGCATGTATCCTTGCTGGCTGTAGTGTGATAAGGGCATTTATACAGTTGTGGTTAGAATTATTTCCACCCCTGGTAAATATAATCAGAGATTGCTGTAAAAAATCACATTATGAAATAAATGCTTTTCTTCTAAACATGTTGGCCATAATTATTGGCACACTTTTATTAAATACTTTTTGCCAAGATAACAGCTCTGAGATTTCTTCTATAATGCCTGACGAGTTTGGAGAACACATGACGAAAGAGATCAGAGACCTTCATACAGAATCTCTTCAGATTCACGAGTTCATGTTGGTGCCTCTCCTCATTTTCTATAGGGTTCAGGTCAGGGAACTGGGACTGTCATGGCAGAAGCGTCATTTGATGTTTGTTTTAAATAGTTGTCCTGATGGAAGATCCAACCACAACCCATTATAAGCATTCTGTCTGTTGACGTTTGCTAGAATCCATGATACCATGTATCTGAACAAGATGTCCAGGACCTCCAGCAAAAAAGAAATAACATTTATTATTGAAAACTAAATTTTTGTGTACTCTGTAATAAATGTTTTCAGTATTCTTTGGTGAACAAAAAGAAAAAAAAAGAAGTCTTTATTGTCATATTTGATATCTTTGCTGAATAAAATTATTACTTTAAAAGAAAAACAAACAACAGAAGTGTAAACGTGTGGGGTTTTTTCCTTTGAAATAACTGTTAGAAATTTCTTACTTGTGGTTTTGTTTCCCCCACGGGTTGGTGAGGTCCTGTTGTTGACCATATATGAACACATGATTTCTGCTGCAACCCTGTTGTTTCCATTGTTTTTATTTTTACAGTATAATATCTAAGACTGATATAATGTTTCTTTTCTGCAGCTGAGCTCTGGCAAGTTTCAAAGTGAATTTCAGTGGAAATAAAAAAAAAAAATACCCATTCCTTTTATAACAATTTGCTTCAGCTTCTCTTCTTCCTCCATTCCACACGCCACTCATTCCAGTCCAATAGTGTCCGGTCTGTCTGCCACTTCGCTTGATCCAGTTCTAACAGAGAGAAGCAGAACAGACAATTACAAATTTCGAAAGAAATTTCCCACAACATTTCGTCTCTGAATGCAAATAAAACATTTATTTTTTTGTTTACCTTTTAGAAATGTGTAGAACATTTGATCAATCATCTTATGACTCTGCGATACTAACTCCCATGGGTCTGGAAAATAAAACCCAGTGTCAGAAAAGAGGCTACCATCAACAAGCGCTATTCATAAACAGATCACAATTGAACAAGTGCTCACCCTTAGTGTTCGCGAGCTGTTTGAGTGCACCACCCAGAGAGGAATCATTGAGCAGCACATTACGGAGACACAAGGCCTGACATGCTGCCATTATTTCATCATGCACAGATGCATCACTTCCCAGACAAACACAGACAGTAGCTGGCGAGAAAAACATCCCATAAATCTGTCATTGTTTTGCCTGAGTAACAGTTAAGCATAAATTGACAAATATAATTTTAGACCATGTTATTATGTCTATCTCTAATTGAGTTTTTTGTACCATTTTTGATTCCAATGAGATACGGTTTGCTGTTGTTCTTCAACGCCAGCTGCAGTTCTCCTGGCCTTTAAATCATAAAGACATAATTTACAGTGTTTTCAGAACAATAAAATATATATTCTTTCTAATTCAGTGAATGGATATAAAACTGGGTTTAAAAGCAGATGAACACACTCTTGAACAATGTCTCCGAGCCTCACACCCATCTTGATGGGAACTGTCCTTCCAAGTGCTGCAAAAAGAGAGAGCTTTTTGTTGATTAGATGCGTAATGATTGACCCAAATCATTTTGATCCATAAATGACCAAGAAAAGGTGATTAGGTTTTAAGGCCATACACAAGAACACGGGCTCCCTCTGATTGGCCTCCAGTGGACTGAGCACTTGACCATTCAGCAGGTACCGATGGAGGACTATGGACAAGCGAGCCTCGTTAAGGGTTTCCATAACAACCGAACGAACAGCTTTGTAATTGGCAAACAGGTGGAGAACAGTGAACAGGAAGAACAGGATGAATGTCAACCTGCATGAATGAGCACAAATCAGTACAGTATGTGTCACACACTTATTTACTCACATATCGGAGTGTTACTCACAATGGGTTATCTGTTACAAGTGGGATGAGCACCAGGCTGACTAGCAGTCCTGCCAGGTTCACCAGGGTTTCCTTATTAGGAAAGAAAGGCAGAGAAATGATACACTGATACATGAAACCACTGACACACATGATGACATCAATTTCACAGACTAAGAGGGAAATTTGCTGGGAAAATCAAGAAAGAAATTACCAAATAATTATTTAACAAATGAGAGAAATTGAGTAATAACCTGGCTCCCATCTTTAGCAGAGATATCAGCCATGTTGTTTCTGCGAGCTTGATGGACAGTTAACGCAGCTCTTGTTGCTCCACCAGCAACTCCTACAATTGACTGGAATGACAGGAATAGATGAGTAACCATAGATATTCATTATCAAATGATGATTTAGGCACAGTCATGTTAACATTTAGAGAAATATGTTGTTAATATTTTACCTTAAATATTCCAGCAATGCAGACGATCAGAATAAAAAAAGGAGGGAAATGAGGGGCTGCAATCTCCATGAACATTGCCACATCATTAAGAATGTCAGCGAAGAGCCTGAAAAGAATAAAACAATTTTATATTACAATAAAATGGTTATTCAAACTAAAACTTAGCAAAACGAAAACTAAAGTCCTTAGTATATTGTACCTCCATTTTTTGGCTTCAGAATCTAACTTGTTCCTGAAACACAGGGCAACAATTAAATACTATAAAACAAATTCACAATCTGAAATTTCTGACGAAATATTACCCTTTGAGCCAGGCAAAAAGTATTCTTCCCAGCATCCCTGTTCCATCTGAACAATGAGAGAGAGAATGGTCAGAAAAGTAAGCATTCGAGAAATAAACATCAGTACTTCATGCACATACCCCTAAGCAGCCATGTTACTGTAGCTGCTGCAACCGTTGCTTCTTGATTTCCAACCCCAACACCCCTCAGTGAAGCCTGAGTAGCGAGTGTACCAGACAGAGAGCTGGAAAATGCCTTGGAAAACAAATGACAGTGCTATTATGCTAGTGTGTGTGAATATATTTTATATAATTATATAAAATATATAATATAAAATATATAAATATATATATTTTTCCGAGTCATTTGGTTCATTCAACGAACGAAACGAACGAATTGACTCAGAAAAAGATTTGTTCATTTTGATGAACGAGTTCGAAAAGGAGTCATGAATGTGCATCACAGAACAGAGCAAGGTGACCCTTATTCATCGTCTGGAATCGTTTAAAACCATTTGGACAGTTTGCAGTTTGTACTGAAAATGTCTTTTGGACCTTGAACCGTTTGGTTCCCACTGAAGTGCATTATATGGAGAAAAATCCAATAATGTTTTCATCAAAAACCTTAATTTCTTTTCGACTGAAGAAAGAAAGACATGGACATCTTGGATGACACGGGGGTGAGTAAATTATCAAAGTGAACTACTCGATTTTTCATATCAGACTTCTCTTGAGACTTCACGGTTGCAGCAGTTAATAATGCACTTTACTGGGCACCAAACGGTTCAAGGTCCAAAAGACAGTTAAGTCGTGAGGGGATTGGTAAGTTTGTGACGTCAGAAACACAGACGATTTCAAACTTTTCTTTTCACTGCAATTTTAAAGTGAAAACTCTCAGCAATGGTGTTGGTTTGTCTTAAAGCGTATTAAAACACAACATAAACAAATGAACAACATTAAATACTTGTTTTTCACCACAGGGACTCTTTAAGGATTTGATACTGAACAATGATTGTATGATTAGATGTTTGGCTAATGGGGAGGGAAAAAAGACATACTAGTGTGAGATGAGATCCATATGAAATGTACCTGCACAGTGTCCCAGAGCTGATACTGTAAGTAATCCTCACTGACACTCTCAGGATATCCCTGTGGCAGGAAAACACTCTGGGAGAGGAGAGATCAGTTAGTGACGTCTAACAGAGTTTTTGTTTTTGTATATGTTCTGAAAGACTTTCGTGCTTTTCTGAACGAGTCACGCACTTTAAACACGCCAGACATTGAATTTCCCGCAAGTTTGCCGTCCATTGCTTCCTTCTGTCTCTTTATCCTCCTATCCTTCAACAGGTATTTCCAAGACTCCTGTGAACCATAACGCTCTGTCGCAATCACTCCTTCACAGTCCTCCATCTCTGCCATCTGCACATCAGTTAGCACGAGTTTATTTAAAAACAATCGAGCTAATAAGAGAAATAAAAAACAACAACTTTGAATTCACACTCAGCTGTAACCAGTCTCACACATTGCAGCTCATGCACAACATTTAACAAGTTATATATGGTTAAATACAATGGTGCTTTATATGTTGGCGCGCAGAGCAGTTTAAAATGCTATTTAAAATACAATAACAACAATTTTTCCATGCGATTCAGTTGTTATTACTTAGAATCGCCCACCTCACCATGTATCACTCTTCCGTGTTTAGACTGTATCGCCACGTCACGAGCATGTCGCGGCTTCGGATTGGCTCGTGGAATTTTACGTTGGCGCAAGAGAAGATTATTTCCTTGTTATGACTGTGCTGTAACTTACGCTGCCTTCACACTGGCAGTTGAAATCAGCTCCGTAATACGCAATACGTTCCCAACGGACGTCGTACTACACAGTGAAAAGCGTCGGACGCGGGTAGAACAAAAATGGCGGAGAGATTAAAGTTTGATTCTGTCAGTTCTGTATGATCTCTCTGATGAGGGTTATGCTGCGTGAGGAAAGTTGCTCAGGACGTTGACATGTCAGGTCGGCTAAAAAATGTGATATAGTGGTCAATAGTTCAATGTCTACCTTCAATTTAATTGTATTAACTGCCCTTATAAACGTTAGAAAGTCATGAAAATAAAAAATGACATCACAAATTATCGTTATAAAATCAATATTTATTTTATTAAAAGTTAATAATTCAGGTTTGTTTATCAGTACCATAGCAACGCTCAACTTCCGCTGGAATTGTCGGATAGGAACCGTCCGTAGCTTTTCGCAAGAGTTCAAATTTTTGAACGCATCCGGATGACCAACGGACACGATTTTCTTCGCACCGCACTCGGTCGGACCCGTTTCGGACCCATTCGCATGCGGTCTGCGAATCTCCATAGGAAATGAATGACTTCCGGTCGTTTCGCAGCCGCATCGGAGCTGATTTCAACTGCCAGTGTGAAGGCGGCGTTAGTAGTTTTATTCACTTAATTACTTCATTTGTGTGGTTATGTCATACACAATATATTTTATTTAATTTTGTTTGTAAATTAATGTATAATGTCACCTCAACCCAGAACAGCAGCCAACCTTCACACACACAGGGGAACAGAGCCATGCAGTGTTCGTGTGTGTGTGTGTGTTTGATAGAGACCATTACAGAACAGGTCAGACATAATATTTCAAATTAAGTGGCAATTTTACTATTTGTTACTGCAACTTTTATTACAGCTCAAAACAATCTTTTTAAACAGTGGTTCTCAACCAGGGGGACAGGACCTCTAAGTGGACCCCAGATGGCTTTAAAATAAGACAAAACAAGAATTAAAATATGCAAAAAGAACTAAAAATTATTTTATTGCTTTATTTCCCTCAACCAGGATTCCACAGTTTTGAAATTAATAAAATCTTACAATTCCAATTAGGTATTTTTGAATATACACTACTGTTCAAAGGTTTTAAATCTGAAAGATTTTTTGTTTGTAAAAGATGTCTCTTATGCTCACCAAGGCTGCAATTATTTGATCCAAAATACAAGAAAAACAATAATATTGCGAAATAGTATTACAATTTAACTGTTTTTGATAATATTTATTCTTGAGCAGAATGCGTTGTCTTGAGATGCAAAGCTGAATTTTCAGCACCATTACTCCAGTCTTCACGGTCACATGACCCTTTTAACATGATCCACATGAAATAATTTGTAACTTTATTAATGTCCTTACAGTCACATTTGATCAATTTAATGCATGATTGATGAATAAAAGTAGTAGTCTTAATTTCTTTAAACAAAATCTTACCAGCACTAAACTTTTATACCGTAGTGTGTAATGTTAAAACAGCTTTCTATTTCAGATAAATTGTGTTTTTTTTACTTTCTATTAATCACAGAATCCTGCTGTTTTCAAAAACAGTTTTCAACAATAATAACTGAGCACAGCAAATCATCACATTAGAATGATTTATGAAGGATCATGTGACACTGAATACTGGAGTAATGATACTGGATAATCAGCTTTGCCACCACAGGAATAAATTACATTTTAAAATATATTCAAATACTGTAGAAGACAGTTATTCTAAATTGTAAACATCTTTCTCAATATTACTGTTTTTGCTGTATTTTACATCCAATAGCAGCCTTGGTGAGCATAAGAGACTTCTTTTAAAAACATTAAAAATGATAAAACTTTTGAACAGTAGTGTACATGTTTCTAGCCAAGCTCTTAAAGGTTTTATCAGGTAAAAAAATATTTGTACACAAATCTTTAAGGAAATCACAAACAACTGGGAAAGTCATAGGATCTTTACTCAAGTCATAGGACTCAAGTCAAGTCATCTTCATTTATATAGCACTTTTAACAATTAAGGTAGATTGTTCCAAAGCTGCTTTACAGTGATAATAGGAAATTAAAGTAACAGAGATTGTTTTGGCTTTATGACAGCTAAGTTATTTTCCAACTAAAGTTAGTTGTAAATGATTCACTTCCGTTGCAACGATCATTAGTTATTAACTTAGTTATTAACTATTCTTCTTATGATGTAACTAGTACATCAGGATTCATGGGAAGTGTTCCCGGTTCCATCGGACCTAATCTATGCAGTCTAACATTGAATTGTAGAAGTGTACAGTGTGTTATGTGTATACAAGGTCAAAGAGATGTGTTTTTAGTCTAGCTTTGAACTGACAGAGTGTGTCTGCTTCCCGGACAATGTTAGGAAGATTGTTCCATGCTTTTGGTGCTAAATAGGAAAAGGATCTACCGCCGGCAGTCGATTTTGATGTTCTAGGTATTATCAACTTAATTCCTTCATACATACATGGAATGAGTGCATGTTTCAAGAGATATATGCATGTCTGGTCTTGAACATGGCATCTGAAATATGCAGACTTAAAATCTAACTCCTGTCTATTAAAAAACAACACGCCTGATGTTTTTGCAAAAGGAAGAAGTTTAGAAACATTACTCTATCTGTCAAAGAATTATCATGAAATATGACAGGCTGTAAATCATTCAGCTGTCCAACATTTATGCAATTATCACACAGAATACATGGAACTCAGCTTACATGTCAGAAACTTGAATCTTGTGAGGCTGAGTAAAAAGAAAGAGAAAGAAAAGGTGAGAGAGAATGAGTATCAGTGTGTCATCATGAAGTCAGAGCTTCTCTGTTACAAAGTCTGCGGGAGCTACTCATGATTCACGGGAGAAACAAGGTGTGGTAAACAGACTGATAAACGTAAGCCTTTAAGAATGTGAGGGGCAGTAGTATTTCAAGCTGTGTGGGAGTGAATAAGAAAAAGTGGGAGGGAACACTGAAAAAAAAAGGAGGTGTATGTTTTTTTTATTCTGTTGTACTAGGTTCAAAGCATTTCTCTCACACTCTGCCTGCCTTATCAAAGGTCTAAGCTGGAGCTAAAGAAGCTGCCCTAAATATTTCACACGTATAACTGACAATAAGAGGAAGTTTGGATGGGAAGTCATCTGGAATCAAGCTGTGACAACGACATGTGACAGTTTTGTCACAGGACTCTAGAACGTCTACACTCAAAGAATCATTAGCAAATTATTAGTCACAGACATATTTTTTAAAGCAAAGACAGAGTTGGTTATTAAGTACCTTTGGATCTCTGGTCGACCTGAGGAATTGTAGACCCTTCTTCCCTCAAGATCAAGCCTGGGCGAGTCTGTAAGTACTGGAGGCAATAGTTTAAGCAACTGTTTCATCTGGCATGCTTTTCATTTGCTGCTTTCTTCAAAGATTATCATTTTTGGATGCAGATTTTACATTGCTACGATTTTAGATTCATTGCTATTCAGTCTATGCATTTGTTCCTTCAGAAACTTTCAGAGTGTTAAATAAAGGGCTTGTCATACCAAAATGTTAAACAACAGTGATTGCCAAATAACGCTTGTTAGGCTCATAATAACCACAACTATCAGTGAGATCTGTCATCACTGTCTTACAATACATACAATGCCAGTTTCTGTCATACCATGACTATACCTGTTTTTCAAGCCCCATGGACAACAATAAGAAATGCTGTTAATTTCTTCTAATATATATTTATCCTTCCTCTCACTCTGGTTATCTGACTTTTACAAATAGGCATCAGGATATATATATATTTAAATGTATCGTTGCTTATTAAAACTCAGGGCAAAAAAAAAAAAAAAACAGTGTCAAGAACCTGTTCATCTTGTTTTAAATCACTGCTCGTCTCATTAATTCCCATGTAAGCTTTTAACAGAACTTAGCCTATATAGCTCACTACACTATATTATACAAAATCATCAAAATACAGTAATGTGCCATTACTTCTATGCTGACTTCCCTACATTTATACTTTGTAATTTGTTACTCCAAACAGAGATGAGTGCGAAAGAACAAGTAGAAGTGAAAGTTGAAACTGACCCGCATGGTGTACACGGCATCTGTAAGGATCCAGACCACCGGAAATTAGCCATATGCAGTATCATATGTGGCATTTCGTGCTGTGGAATTATGTCCTTATTGTACTCTGTCAAGGTAATAAAAACAGAATTATTGAAATGTCATTGTTGTATTACAGCACTAACACTGTAATAAGTATCACTTATCTCTATGCAAAATTGAACTTATAACTATATGAAGAGTTCAGATGCAAAAGCCTCTAAGTGCCATTTGAAATTTTCTTCTAGAATGATCATATTTGATCAAGCCTGTATATTTAAGTTCAGTGATTTCACTTAAATTGCAATGAAGATTACCTATTAATTGTCATTTAAGTGAAATTACTGAACTTAAATATACAAGCTTGATAAAAATGATCATTCTAGGAGAACATTTCAAATGGCACTTAGAGGCTTTTGCATCTGAACTCTTCATTTAGTAACCGACCCATGCAGTCTGAGAGAAAGATTAAGAGTGTAGAAAAAAATGATTCAAATGGCTTCCTGGAATTTTGTAAGACAATCCTATTTCATTGTTAAGTTTCTGTAAAAAGACGCTTGGCTGTTGCCAAAGGCATAGATACTGTTGGCAAAACATAAAACATGAAACTTGAGAACTGTAGTCGGTTATGAAATACAACCCAAGAATCTAAAAAAATACCTGGAAATCTGACACTTTCTTTCCTACTGTTTTCAAGGCCCGAGAGACAAGAAAAAGACTTGAAGATTGTCCGGAAAAATGGGAAAAGGTTGAGAAATACTCCCAAAAAGCTTGTAGATGGGGAATTGGGTCCATTGTGGCCTGGGTGGTTTTAATTCTCATCTTTCCATTACTGATTGTCTTTCTGTCCTATATTCTAACCTTCATAGATTGACACCGGAAAAGCTTTTCTACATTTACATGAACTGCAAGAATGTAGAAACAAGTCTTACAGTTCACATTGGGCTGTGCATCCTCTAGACAGTCCCAAATTTTTACCTGATAACAAAAAACTGGTCATTAATAGTCATTATTTAAATTTATTGTGGGTTTAGAATGGTGCTTGCCATTAGTCTGGATCAAAAGTCCAAAACTTGCTGCCTGGTATTTAAAACATAATTCAACAGCTCAATTTTTACTAAATATTTTAAATATGTATGCTTTTAGTAGAAATTAAATCAATGCCATTTTTTTAATGCAGTTAAAAAAAAACATTACAGAATCTTTCAGGAATTTGTTACATGCAGCACATGGAGAGACACACACATACACAACCCTGACCAAAACTACTTTTACATTTCAACAAGCTGTTTTTATTTAGGGTCTAAATGAAAATTGGAAATTAAACATTGATACACTCACAGAGAGCATGGCAGTCAAATGTTGATATCTTGTGGTTACAACTTTGTTCTTGTAAATAAGTTATTTCAATATGTTGTGCTTTTGATGTTTTGTACATTGCATGTCTTACAGGATTTGTAATAAAATGTGTATAAGTCAAACAGTCTATTGTGTCTAAAAAATACACAACACAGTTCAATTGTATTCTGTTAGAAATACAGAACCCAGACATCTATACATATCAAACAATTTTACACACAAACCATTCAACATCTTCAAACACCATACGCAGTATTATAAGTCACTACATCAAAGAGGAACAAAAGTGTAAATTAAGTGAATGGACCATGTTCAGAGTACCTGAGTAAAGGCACAGAATGCATTGAACTCTTTAAATCCTTTATGCTCAAAAGGCATAATTTAAAACTGAACAATGCAAACTTTTGTCCCGCTGGTAACTCACTGTATTTAATGCTGCCGCTATAACTTTATAAAAGTCTTTGTGCTGTCTCTCATTTACACACAGGCCATACTGAGAGTGTATTAATACGGCATTCAATTGAACCAATGAAGTTTAAATGTTTTAAAATGTGGAAGATATGGAGAGAGGAATTGTTTATGAATGAGCTGGCTACTCCTAATGTGAAACACTTTTTGATACCGAGTTGTGCCAAACAGGAATTATTTGTCATGTCATGTTATGATATATATATATATATATATATATATATGTGTGTGTGTGTGTGTGTGCCCACAGATTAATGTAAACAAGTGCTCTACCTTTGAACATTTACAAAAGGACAAAAAACACAGTAACTCCTTGAAGGGGGTTTCTTGTTTATCAGACCAATTTACAAAATACCTAGCAAAATATATAAAGAATGTGATGTATTTGCAAGATCTTTACAGTACACTAGTGATCAAAAAACAGATTTTACAGCTTTGTTGTTGCTTTAATGAATTTACAGTAAATTTCTACATGCAAAGCTCATTGTTTGGTACAGATCAAACAAGACCTCTGCTTCAGCCTGCTATCTGCTGAAGTGCCATCCAGGTGTCCAGCTCCTCAAGCTTAGAGCAAAGGAGTGACTCCAGTTCCTGCAAGGTGAGGCCATCCTGCACTTTGGAAGAGCCCCCAACACCTCGTCTGGTTCTAGCGATCCCAGAGTTCCCTCCTGCCTTCCTCTGGGCTCCACCCCCCGCCATTACACCCACCAGAGGCTTCTTGGGCTTCCTGGTGACACCCAGTTCAGGGAATTCGAAAAAGCGCTTCACCTTTTTTTGTCCCACGACAGCCTGAGAGCCATCTCGCCGGTTAAGAGGCACCTCAAATATGGTTTCCAAACGTCTGAAAAAGTTTGCAATAGTAGCTTAATTGACCAGATGTTAAAAGGGAAAAAATAAAATCTCAAAATGTAACTGCATGCAAGTCCTAATATGCTACATAAAATGATTTTACTTAGCCATTTGTATTTAAGATAGATGATTGACTAAGTAAGTGGTTGTCAAAATGTGATATGAAATACAACTATGGAATAATAAAAAAAATAATGCAATAAGACCGGGGATTCCCAAACCTGATTTTTGACAACTGAACCCCTTTAATTTAAAATATTAACTTGAAGTAACCCCTGAGGTTTTTATTCAATTTAACAACACATTCACATGTTCTTGGTTATAAATTACATGCAGATACATAATTAAAAATATTGGCGGGGATTAGGTTTTTTTTAAAGTAGTTTTAATTTTATGTTTTTATGATTTAATACCTTTTTTTAAAGAACACAGTACAAGAACAGTTTGAGCTAAAAGGTACTAAAACGGGGCTATTCTGTCTACCCTCCAGCGAGTCTGCATGTACTAGAAATCCTGAACATTAGTAGTAGACAAATAAATAAACAACACAAATCAATAAATACAACCAGTCTGAGGGGTGTTTTAACAAAAGTTTCGAAGTTTTTACATAAAAATGATTCCAAAACATTTAGTTTTCATGGTTTTGAAATACTCATGTCACACACACTGTAATTGCATAGTGTTAATGTTCTTAAGGTTGCAGTCAAAGAGGTCTGTGCAATTATTGATAAATACAGGTGGTATTTGGATGGTCTGATTTGATCAGATGTGGTGCCTGGCCAGAAAACTTTGAGAGACCTACTAAGTGGATAAATGAGCTATTAAGCTCAACTACCCAGAAAATAAAACGCATTGGTAAAACGTCTCACCCATCAGGAGGTTTGCTGAAGTTTTTGTTGGTATAGATTTCCTCCAAGCTAAAATCCTTCTTCTTTATTCTGTAAAAAACAAAAAGAAATGCATCTTTGCTGCGATGAGGTAAATGTAAACACACATTAGCTTCAGCTAGGAAGAAAGAGAAAAGAAAAATATGACCAAGTACATGACCTTCTCTATGCATACACACCTGATGACCTTCGGAAGGCCCATAGGGGTAAGATTATTCTGGGGCTTTGGAATCTTTTTACGGATACGAATAGAGGAAACCTTTCCTCCTTGACCATCCTTTATGTCTGTCTGTTCACACAGAAAGTAAATAAAATGATTTAGAATAATGATACATTTATTAAGCACAAACC